GAACTTTGTTTTATTCATTTTTTTTTGTTTAATTCTTGAAGTGAAATTTGATTGGTTTCTATTTTTAATTTAGTGATTTTTTGAGTCCGTAATGTGGCTTTGAGAGTTAGAAATTGCAATGATATAATAAGTAACAAAATCAAAATCTGTTTGATGTTTTTACACTTACGAGGAATTGCCAATTCAAAATCTATCAAGAAAAAGTTAGTTTCTTGCAAAAATTGAAAAGAAAAGAAAAAGAGTAATTAAAGAACTAACCAATTTCAAATAAATAATTTATGCCGTGATTGAGATTTTTAGTAGCTGATATAAGAACTCCATACAGTATTTATTAAGTATATATTACTTTTTATTCTACATAAATAGCAAGAACAAGGTAGAATTTTGTCTTTTTTATTCTAAATAGATAGCAAAAGCAAGGGAGTAACATAAAAACTAGCAAGACATACATATTGTGATACATGCAAATTGCACAAGACCATGCAATGTGAGTTGCTGCTTTTCTAGAATGATTTACTTTTTCTTAAGTTGATATGACGTTACATACTCCAAGTACTTAACACTGAACCTTTCTAGAGATGAGTTGATTCCATCTCTAGAACAAAAGGGTAAGAAGAACTAAAAAAGCCAAAAATCCCAATTAGCATAGACATTAGTTATTTCGAATTGGTTAGTTGTTTCATTACTCTTTTCTCTTCTCCTCAATTTTTGCAAGAAACTAGCTTTCTCTTGGTAAATTTTGAATTTATTACTCATAGGAAGTGTAAAAACATAAAACAAAATTTGATTTTATCACTTATCGTATCATTGTAAATTCTAACTCTCAAAGCCACGTTATAGACTAAAAAATTCACCAAATTAAAAATATAAACTTATCAAATTCTACTTCAAGAATCAAATGCAAAAACAATACAATAAAACAAAATTTAAGAATCAAACCCAAGAACAATATAGTAAAACTAAGTTCAAGAATCAAACCCAAAAACAATACGATAATATACATGACGTGAATTAATAAAAAAGACAATCGTATCATCAAATTACACTTGAATTCGCTATTGATTTGGATTCGAGATGTTGCACTTTTCTATTCTCTTCATTTTTTGCAAGAGACTAGCTTGTTATTCTCTTCAAATTGCTTTTAGATTTTTTGCAATAAGAATGACAACCCTAATTCTCTTGATTTTTCTTCTCTTCAAATTGCTCTTGAATTTGTTGCAAGAGAGAAAGACTAGTTTTGAATGTTTTGTAGCCACCACAAAACCTTAATCACGTTTTTTTTTTTTTTTTACATAGTCCAAGTCAGATTATTTTTAAATTCACCTATACCAAAAAAATTTATTATAAAATATTTTTATGACATGAGAGCTAAAATTTACAAGGTATAAAGTAACTTATTAGGTTGTCCAATCTGATCATCTGATTATTTTTTATATATTATAAAATTTGTCCAGTTCCCATCTATAGTAAGGTTAATGTCACTCCCATCCCCAGCCTTTTTTTTTTTTTTGTCAGAAGAAAGGCATCTCACATGTCTCATTCACATGCCATTACTCAATGCCCTGCTCTTCCAATCCTGTGTTTTTAGATCCAAGCACGTGACTCTCTCTGTCTTGATTTTGATAGAACGCTCTGCCATTTGTGTGGAGACAGTGTTCCTTTGCCAGATCCAAGGGATTAGATGAAATCTAGGAAGCCATTGGTCTCATATTCCACTCTATTATTGCATGTGATGTTGGTAATATCAGATAAAATAGTACATGCACTTTGAAATAAAAATGGATTATGTCAAAGAAATTTGTCATGCAATAATTTTCATGCTTTGTTTTGTACCTATCAGGACATCTTGGCCGATATGAAATTTATATAGTCTGGTCAAGACACAAAAGGAGAAATAGAGCCATTTGTTAGATTTATAACATATAAAGCATAGATTATTGTTTTGAATGTACAATCTAGCCTCATTTGTCTATGCACTTGAAGCTAGTGTAGTTGCTCGGTCATATAAATATATATTCATTCAGTCGCCTTGATCTCAATTCCATGGCTAAATAATGCTAACTAAGTTTGCCTTGATGCGGACATGTAGCGAACGCATTTATTTTCCTGTTCGGCAGCCCATAAAAAATAGAACTAAAAAAAATGATATTAGACACAAATTGACCTTCAACCCAATGATGAATGGTATGTTTTAGAGTAAATCCATCAACTTTTCCTTGCGCATTTTATTGATTCGTTATTAAAAAAAAAAAATCAATTGATGGTAAACATAATTTTTCTTCACCTTTTGTCAAATAAGTTCATTAAATTAGTAATAGTTTTACTTTTTTCTTTTTTTTTTGAATTCCTAAGATATCTTAGGTCTAAAATTTCAAACTAATTCCTCACTATTTGATCGGATGCATAAGATAAAAACAACTATCAAATTTTTTTCTATATATATAAAAAATTAAATCCAAAATTATTTGACTAAATGATTAGAATCCTTTCTGCTTAAGCAAACTTTCTAAGTGGTAATTGTATTTCTAATAACCTACACGACTTTTAGTGCATTAATTGCTTTTCTCTTTAATAGACGGAATAGCTCTAAGGAATTATGGCCCAGTGGGTTAGCACGTTCGACTAATATGTCTTAGAATTGGTCCGGGTTTTACAGCATAAGGCCCATAATGCTTCTCAAGATAACTAGAGAACAGTATAGGCCTTCTATTGTAAAAGCCGCACAATTCTAAGACATATTAGTCGAAACGTGCTAACCCACTGGGCCTAAAACTAAAAAGAGGGTGCCAGGTTGCAGCCTTCAAGGAGCATGGCCCATGACGATGGCAACAGCAAGCTACGCAACACAATCATAACGTCCAGGCCGATAGCTACTGAGACCGTATAAAGCAACCACTGGGAGAAAGAAAACATTCTTTCATTAATATTTACAGAAAACCTGCTAATATTAAATGACGAGAACGATTTTCTACTACTGTTATGAAAGAATAAAATTATTTTTTATTCAATTCAACTTATTTTTTGCTATATGGTTTCTTTTGCATTGGCTTGTAACTAATAAGGCTGGGCTTCTTCTCTAATCTCTTTGATCAGTGATAAAATTTCATTCATCAAAAAGATCAAAAGAGAGAGAGAGAGAGAGGAAGAAGAAGAAAAAGAAAAAGAAAGGGTGGGTCTTTATCTCTGCATGTTATTGTTTTTCTTTCTTTTTTTTTTTTTTTTTTTTCCACTTAAGAAATTCACTTGCTATTTTGTTGGACGGAGTACGGATACAGCTGAAAAGTTAGATGATGTCAAGAATGTAATTCACTCAGCCCATTAGTAAATTGTACGATTAAAACGACCCTATAAATCATATGAGTAAAATATAAACGAGTCTCTACAGTTTCGAAAATAAATTAATTAGTCCTCATTGTTTCAAAAAATAATTATTTGGTCTTTATATTTTTAATTTTTTGTGCAAATTATTTCTTTTAGTTTTTCTTTTTCAATTTATTTTGATTGTTTGTTTTAAGAAATAAGAAAAAATAAGAAAAAAAATAAAAAAAGAAGATATAAAATTTTTAAAATAAAATAATATTAAATTAATTGTGATCAACATTGATAAAAAAATTAATTAATTATTTTTTATAAGAAATTAATTAATTAATTTCTAAAAAATAAAAAGAGTAATTTATAATTTACTTTATAAATCATTAGTGATTCTTAGTCAATTTCAAAATATATTTTTTTAACATATTATAAAAGGCAATGATATTGGAGAAATGAAAGTAACAATTGTAAGTAGATTTTATTAATAAAATAAATTTTAGTTTAAAAACTAAAAATCCATGTGAAGAGATGTAGAGTCTTGAATAATTATATTATTTTGATTTACTTTACTTTAACTTCTAATAGGTTTGGATTTTGTCAATTCCAAACTAGAATGCCATAACTCAATCTATAGGATAATACTATTTTGTTAATTGTTTTTTACTATTTTTCTTTAAAACAATATATATATATATATATAAGTAGTGAGATATCTTAGAACTAGCCTTTCTAATAAGTAAGAATTTTTTTTTTTACCATTCTATTTATAGCTTTTTACAGTAATAAAATTCAAATTAGTTTTAAAATTGTCAAGAACATTCGAAATTGTCTATTTTTTTTTTACAATTGACAATGGTTATTTTTGGTATGATTTTTGTAAATTAATTTAAATTGTTTTTTAACTTTTGACTTAGATAAAAATTATGAGTATATTTGATTACAAATATCTTTAAACTTAAACCAAAAGTTTCTTACAAAATTAAATTAAAAATTTGATCATCAAAAGTTGAAATTTTTAACTTTGAACTTATGTATTTTAACTTATACTGTATTAAAAAAATAATTAAAGTCATTTTTAAGAAATATATTCGTAACTTAAAGTTATTTTTAATTTATTTTATCAAAAAATAACTCTGAATTATGGTTCAAAACTAAAAATCATAATTCAAAAGTCATGCCAAATAGACTCAAAATCAGTCTATTCTACTGTTAACTTTTTACTCACATGGCATAATTAACTTAAATTTAACGCCAAAAAAGAAAAAGTAATGACATCCAATTAATTTGATTTAAAAGCAACTACATAGAAAGCAAGACCCTATGTGATGGACGATGAAGGGACTTGATTGTGAATTTATTGAACTTTGAAGACGCAATCAAGAACCAAAAAAAAAAAAAAGAGTTCCCGTAGGACAACATAGTAAATCTATTGATATTTAGAAAAAAAAAAAAGAGAAAACACCAAGATTTTGCGAAATTGCTAACTACCCAGCCATTAGAATCATCTGCGAGAAGGAAACGGAAACCCTAACGCAACGCAGGTAATCCATCTTGCTTTCTATACGGTTCAATATCTTTCTTCAATTTACCAGACTCCAAAAAACCCTAACACATATGATGATATTCCAAATGTAGAACAAATTTATTAGTTATTCTATTAATAGTTTAAAATTGTGGATTTTCAGGAAATGATTCAGAATTGTGGAAATAATAATAATGATAACGGTAAAGAGAAATGCAAATACATGGCATGGACAAGTGAAATGGATCGTTGTCTTGCTAAAACACTTGCTGATCAAATAAAATCAGGCAACCACAAGACAGTAGCCTATGGTGCTGCATTTACTGCTATTAATGAAAAATTTGGACTTGTTTTGGGTAGAGAACATGTTAGGAATCGGCTTAAAACCTGGAAGAAACAGTTTGGGATTTTGAAGGAGATGCTTAATCATAAAGGGTTTGTTTGGGATGAGGAACAGAAGATGATTGTAGCTGATGATTCTGTTTGGAATGAGTATAGCAAGGTACATTTTCTTGTTTTCTATTCGTTTTTCTCTATTTGACACTTGGGAGGTCTGCTGGGTCTTGAGCTACACAACTTAGGTAGTCTTTGAAGAGATTATTCATCACATCCGATGCACATTAGAACATGCTCCCTTGCTCACATACAAGTTGGACTCGTGGTAGTTAGTAGTTGCCCTTTGGCCTCATATGAGTGTGATTGTGTGAATGAGGGAGCATTACATTGGATATGGTGAATAACTCTCCCTTCTCTGAATTTTTTATGATCCAGTCGCAACTTGCGAGCAGAGTTGGATCCTACTAGCTAAGTTAGGTGGAACCCACATGGGCTTTGATGAGTTATTGTGTTATCGATTAGGTTTTCTAGTCTTTCTCTTTTTATTTTTATTTTTTTGTAACCTTGTTTATTCACAGGTGCATCCTGATGCTAGATATTTCAGGGCTAGGTTCATCGAGAACTATGATGAGTTGTGTGTAGTCATTGGCAATGATCAGCTAATAGGAGGATCTTCTGACAATGGAGCTGAAATTGATGTGGATTGGATGGGAAACCGGGATGGTGTGGAGAATGGCTGTGTTGCAGAGTTTCAGAACGATGACAGGCAGAATAAGAAATTGAGGTGGACAGAAGGAATGGACCTTTTGCTTGGTAAAATTTTTGCAGAGCAAGTGAGGAAGGGCAATAAAATAGAGAATATCATACAGCGTGAAATGTATGATTATGCACTTTCTGCATTGAATGGAAAATTTGGTCCTGAATTGGGGAAAAATCACATTAGGAATCGGCTTAAAACTTGGAAAAAACAGCATGGGATCTTGAAGGAAATCCTGTCTTGCCCTGGCTTCAGATGGGATGAAACACAGAAGATGATCATTGCAAATGATTCAGTGTGGAATGACTATTTGAAGGTATGCTACATGTTAGATCGGATAATTGGTACAGCTCAGGAGACTTATTATTTGCTGTCTAGATGATTTGTTCATTGTTATCATTCAGTAGAAGTTGAGAACACAATGCTTATCTATAATGTAACTCGGTAATAGGTTTTCAAAAATGCTTTTTGGCAAGGGGAAAACTTCTGAAATATATTTTGTAATGGCACACTGACAGTGTCCTTGGTCAGGAAAAAGGTTTACATAATACATTTGGACCTAGTTATTGTCCAACTGGAGCCAACGGCCTGGATTCAAAAGTGATAAAATGCAAGGAAAAACTCAAATTAATATGTTCTAACATAATAATATCTGAAAGGGAAATCCAGGACAATCTTCTCCAGTGATGATTTTGATGTGGAATTTGGAAATAGGACATAAAGTGAAAAGGGATAATAAATCTGCGCCTACTCTAGTTCTGCAAGGGCAGCAACATTCTTTCAGCTTCTGATTCTAGATGCATACATACATTCACCTGAATATTCCTATTAAAACTTGATGTGGAAGAGCATCTTCTGGTTCTAGATGAATGTAAAAATGAGTAACAGATCATGTGTATGCAAAACAAATTCTGACATCTTGTCTGGCTAAACATTTTATTTTATCTGCAGGTGCATCCTGATGCTAGGCTTTTCCATGGAAAAGTCATTGAGACCTATGATCATTTATGTCTAATCTTTGGTAAGTATAACGAGGCTGCACAGAGTGTTGATGTCTCTCCTAGTCAAGGTGGCAAGGTAAAAGATAAAGTAAGGAACATGATGTGGACAAATGAAATGGACCATTATCTCAGCAAGGTCCTTGTGGAACAAGTGAGAATTGGAAATAAGAATAAACAGGATAACAAGTTAAAGTCTGCAGCATATGTAGCTGCTGTATCATCTCTTAATGGAAGGTTTCAACTTTCCTTGACAAAGGATCATGTTAGAAACCGTCTCAAAACATGGAGGAAACAATATGACATTCTAAAGGAACTTCTGGACCATGGTGACTTTAAATGGGACGTGACAAGAAAGATGGTCATTGCGAATGACCATGCGTGGAATCAATTTATCAGGGTAAGGGGTTTTTGATTGATTTATTTGTATTTCATACAATAGCATGCATCATGAAACTTTTCTTATGCTTATTTGAATGGAGTTTATGGTGATTCCTCTTTTTAACAGAGGCACCCAGATGCCAGGCAATTTCAAAGCCGGGTTATCGATAACTATGAGGAACTGTGCATTATCATGGGCTGTGATGACCCACCTGAGAGTTCTTTAAATGGTGATGACGTTGATTTGAATTTGATAGCAGACAATGACACTGTTGACACTGAGGATGCATTTTACAGTCAGAGTGACAGTGCAAAGAGAAAGTGAAGTACATGGCCTGGACAGATGAGATGGATCATTGTCTAACAGAGCTGCTTCTTGAACAAGTGATGCTTGGAAATAAGGTTGGGAAAAATTTCAAGGGTGCAGCTTATAGAGCTGCTCTTACTGTTTTAAATGAAAAGTTTGCACTGGAGTTAACAAAGGGAAACATTATAAATCGCTTGAGAACATGGAAGAAACAGTATGGACTTGTGAAGGAACTCCTTGCTCATGGCGGATTTGAGTGGGATGGGAAACAAAAGATGGTTATGGCTAGTGACTCGAAATGGAAAGAGTACATTAAGGTACGTTTCATCCTCTGTGCTTGACTGATTTTGTATAAAGGAATTTGATGGTATGCCAATGTGCCACCAAGGGAGTCTCTGACATAATCAGAAACCAATTCCTTTCATGCCACAGCTAATATGATTTTGAATGACTTACAAATGCGATTTTGATTTTGTCGTGCCTTTACTTTTTTTGGGTTTCTCTCCTACTTGGAAAATCACTCAAATAATATACACATATCACAGAGGCATTTGGAGGGAACATCATTGACGATAATTCTAGTGGAGCTAACTGGTTCTATTTACTAATGATTTTGCTTTTGTATGTAACGTATTTCATTTTTATTTCTGCATGTACGTTCCATTTCAGAGAAATCCTGATGCAAAGCATTTGCGGGCAAAAACTATTGAGAACTTCAACGAGTTACATATTATAGTTGGCCATGAGCATCCAAATGGAAATGGGTCTGAAACTGGTGCTAATGTTGTTGAAGATCCTATACAGAGCAATGAAGAACTCATGGAGATCCCATTGCATGTGTTGGTTGATGAAGATACAAGACATGATGTTGGTGATGATTATCAAGAGTCATCTCAGCAAACAAGGGCCAGGCCTTCATCATCATCCCATTCTGAGCAGCCTTACAAGAGAAGACGTGACAATAATGTTATGATGGAGATGATGAGTGCCATTGCCACAGACGTTGGTAGGATTGCTGATGCATTGACAGAAATGAATAATGTGTGCTTGGATGAAGTGTTTGAGATGGTGATGAGAATACCAGGTTTTGACGATGACATCATTATTGAGGCTTGTGAGTATCTTTCTTTTGACGATAAGAGAGCCAGAATGTTCATGAAATTGAATGATCGATTAAGAAAAAAGTGGTTGTTAAAACGTTTGCGTGGTCAAGGTAATTGAAATTAGAATAAACCATTCGTTTAGATCATCAATGCATATTTCTTTAGCCGAATGCTTTGAGAATGGTTAATTTCCCCTTGCTCTTTAAATGCCTCCTGATAAAATTTAACTTGGCTGATTTTTCAGAAGTCAGAACCAAATGCTTTTAGTGAATGGAGTCTGGTGAACTCATTCACATGTGGGTTGGACTATGCACGAGAATGTAAATAAATTCTATGTAAAATTAGTCTTTCTCTACTTAGCACAAGAGTGCAAGACAACTTCAATTCGAACCTCTAGCTGACGGATTCAAGTGTTTACCCACCTGAGTAGAGTTCCTTGAATACAGGAAAGCCTTCGAGACTTGATGAGTTTCCCATTATTTGGATTTTAGATTGCTGTCAACCTTCAGAATTCAAACACCAAGAAAAGTCTACCTTGGTTCATCAACGAAGAAAAGTCTCTCTTGTTCATCTTAAAACAGTTGCAAAACGGAGGTCTAGAAACCTGATTAGGTCGCATTTTCTTGATTTTCACAACCGAAACTGACTATACACTCTGACCAATTCTTGATCTGGATCATGATTATACAAATCCCTTCTGATGAATTCAAAAGCATCAGATTTTATGGTGATTTCAATGAATCTGCAAAAACTCGAAATGGGTGTTGACATTTCAAGAAATAAAGGGAATTAGGATACCTTTGCTTTACTTGAAAATCATACAATTGATGAAGCAATTATGGAATCATGATTGGGTTTCATAAATAGCCTCAAAGCATATGATTGAGTCCGCCCATAACTTGAAGCATCTGGTCCATGCAAAAGACAGTCCCTTCGCTATTAGTAATGGCACAGTAGAAGGAACCTCTCTCTTACTAAGGGGACTGTAATTTGTAAAGGCAGTTAAATACCTTTAACGACATTTTGAAAACCATAAGTTAAGTCTATCTTTCTCTCACTCTTTCTATGTTGCCATTCTCTAACCACAGAAGTAAAAAAACTCTTCACCATTTGGTTTCAACACTCTCATGCAAACACTCCTCTTCTTTCTCCACACACACCAATCTCCTCTCTTTAATCTCCAACACCAAATCTCTCTACCAAACCAAGCAATCTCATGCCTTTGCACTCCTCAATGGTTTCCTTCCTCAAAGTATCTCGCTTTGTGCCTCTCTCATCCTCAAGTACGCCACTTTTCATGACCCCACTACCTCTCTCTATCTCTTTCAACAAACTCTTCCATTCTCTCGCTCTGCTTTCTTGTGGAATACACTTATTCGCGCTTTGTCAGTGGCTGGCGTTAATGATGATTTTAGAACATATAATCAGATGGTTAAAATGGGTGTTAGGCTTGATGATCACACCTTTCCTTTTGTAATCAAAGCTTGTGCCGATAATTTGAATGCTCAAAAGGGCAGAGAGATTCATGGGGCTGTGTTTAAACTTGGATTTGATTCGGATGTGTTTGTAGGGAACACACTGTTGTTGTTCTATGGGAATTGCGGGAGTTTGAAAGATGTGAAGAGGGTGTTTGATGAAATGCGTGAAAGAGATGTTGTGTCGTGGAATACGGTCATTGGGGTGTCTTCGATTCATGGGTTTTATGCAGAGGCTATTGATTTATTTTGTGAAATGAATTTGAGGTCTGGGTTTAGGCCAAATATGGTCAGTGTTGTGAGTGTTTTGCCAGTTTGTGCGGGACTTCAGGATGACGTTATGGGGAGGCAAATTCATTGTTATGTTCTAAAGATTGGCTTGGATTCTCATGTGACCGTAGGGAATGCTATAGTTGATGTGTATGGAAAATGTGGGTACGTGAAAGATTCGAGGCGTGTTTTTGATGAAATGGCAGTGAGAAATGGGGTTTCTTGGAATGCAATTATTACAAGTCTTGCTTATCTCAAGCGTAATCAAGATGCGTTGGAGATGTTTAGACTGATGATTGATGAAGGAGTGGAACCAAATTCTGTCACCATTTCCAGTATGTTGCCTGTCTTGGTTGAATCAGAACATATTGACTTTGGAAAGGAAATTCATGGGTTTAGTCTAAGGTTTGGACTAGAATCCGATATCTTTGTCGCCAATGCTTTGATTGATATGTATTCAAAATCAGGTCATTCATCTCAAGCGTCCAATGTGTTTAACCAGATAGGCGAAAAGAATGTTATTTCATGGAATGCCATGGTAGCTAATTTTGCTCAAAATAGGCTTGAATTAGCAGCAGTAGATTTAGTGAGGCAAATGCAAGCTGATGGTGAAATACCAAATTCTGTCACCTTCACGAATGTTCTTCCAGCATGTGCACGAATAGGATTCCTTCGTCCTGGAAAAGAAATCCATGCAAGGGCAATTCGCACAGGGTGCTCCGTTGATCTTTTTGTGTCCAATGCTCTGACAGATATGTATGTAAAATGTGGCTGTCTAAATCTTGCTCGAAGTGTCTTTAAGATCTCTCTTAGAGATGAAGTATCTTATAACACTTTAATTATAGGCTATTCTCAAACAACTGATTGCTCAGAATCTCTTAGTTTATTCTTGGAAATGAGGATTAAGGGTATGGAGCTTGATGTAGTTTCCTATATGGGTGTTATTTCAGCTTGTGCAAGTCTAGCTGCATTGAAGCAAGGGAAAGAGGTTCATGGATTAGTAGTAAGAAAGCATTTGCACACACACCTTTTTATTGCCAATTCACTTTTGGACTTCTATATCAAATGTGGACAAATTGGTTTTGCTGGAAAGGTCTTTGATCGAATTCCAAGCAAGGACGCCGCCTCTTGGAATTCTATGATTTTAGGTTATGGAATGCTGAGTGAAATGACGATTGCTATCAACCTTTTCGAAGCAATGAAGGAAGATGGGGTGGAATATGATTCAGTCTCATACATTGCAGTCTTGTCAGCTTGCAGTCATGGAGGGCTAGTTGAAGTGGGGAAGAAATATTTTGAGCATATGCAGGCTCAGAATATTAAGCCAAAGCAAATGCACTATGCTTGTATGGTCGATCTCCTTGGCCGGGCTGGACTTATGGAGGAAGCAGTAAAACTTATTAAAAGCTTACCTATTGAACCAGATGCCAATGTATGGGGTGCTTTGCTTGGGGCATGCCGAATACATGGGAATATTGAGTTGGCTTGTTGGGCAGCTGAACATTTATTTAAGCTGAAACCCCACCATTCCGGATACTACTCAATTCTTTCAAACATGTATGCAGAAGCTGGAAAATGGGACGAGGCAAACCAGGTAAGGGAATTGATGAAATCGAGGGGTGCAAAGAAAAATCCTGGTTGCAGCTGGGTTCAGATTGATGACGAGGTTCATGCTTTTGTGAATGGAGAGAGAATGGTGAATGTTGATTCAGGTCTTCGATTTGCAGATTACTAATTCAATTATCCAATGCTTGCTAATCGAATTCCGAGTTTCATTTTAGAGGAGTGCGAGATCTTGGAGCATTTTAGCTCTCTTTCGATTTTGGATGTGGTGTAAGAGATTAAGGCCCAATTTGGTAACGCGGTGTCAGGGTGTCTTTCAAAATGTTTTTAGATAGTTATAATATGAAGATAGGTATATGTCAAATCATTTCTGGATGTCGGCTTCCAACCATGTAATCTTTACCATACTTAGGATGTTGAATTTATATGTCATTAACATGAACTAAACTATACTCGAGAATATTAATGAAATTTGTTTGCTAATGTTGCTGTGATCAAATTTTCAGGCCAATTCGCCCACCTTGCGCAGCTGAGGTATGCTAACCTGGCAATCCAATGATCACAAGGCATTTTTATGATATGGCAGTGATGATGAAGAAGTTTTTAATCAATCTGTCCCAAGCTAGCAGGGAGCTCCTGCTACCTGTCAATTATAAGACTAGCATGGTCTCAAGTATAAAACCGTTTTCAAAACAAATTATCGGGATGGCAACAGGGCAGGGCAGGGGTTGGCCATCTCCGCCCCTGTCCTAGAAAATGTCACCCATCACCATCCCGTGCCTCGTTCGAGACGATATTTTGCATACAATTCTCCCCCCAAATGAGACAGGGTAAAACCTCGTTCGATTGCCATTCCTAAAGTTAAAAGACCATCCTCCCAGAAAATATCGTCCCATCCCTACCTCTACTCCGTTTGAAGCGATATTTTGCGTACCATCTCCGCCCCAAACGGGGTGAAACGGGTCAGATTGCCATCTTTACCATTGCATCAGTTTTTAGGTTTCATTGTTCTACAAATTTACAACACAACATAGATTGCGTTTGGTATGAAATGCGTGCAAAAGAACATCAGTAATATTTCAACAGATTGTACAAGAAAATCGGTAAAAAAGGGTTAAAACAAAATCTGCCTACCGCTAAGTGCTATGACTGGTGACAAACAACAGCAGTGCAAGAAGAGTCAACATCTACAACCCACAAACTCAATTCTTGCAGCCGTTTTTGAATCAAATCCAAACCTGTGTCTGCAGACCAATAAACCATTTTCTTCCCAGCATCCGAAGATGATTGATTAATAGTATTGGCACTAATCTGGATGCCAATGCTTGCCTCATCAACCCTGTGAATTGTTACACCAGTCTGTTCCAAGAACTTTACCACTAAGAAAACAAAATTTGTGCTCTCTCCCTGTAACGACACCTTGCCTATTGTGGCAGCAACCTTCTTCAGGAGACCAAGCCAAATTTCTTGAGCAGAAGAAGAGCTCCTAACCGAGAGAAATCGCGAGCTCTTCCCAGCATAGAAGTCATTAGTAGGATTCATGAACTCCTGAACTTTACTGAGAAAAAGCATGTTTGCATCCACCATCAAAGAATCATACCCATTTTCTAAACACTTCTTGATTACATAAGCATTCACTAAAACGTTCTTCATCAGCTTTGCACTGGAATGCTGAAATCCCATTACTTTCTGTGCTCTGAGATAATTGAAAAACTGGTCAGCATCAATCACAGGATGCCCTCTTCTAGCAAGATCAAATAGAAAATCAGACCGAGGGCCCATCAATAAATAGTTCCTTATATTTAGCCTCTCAAAGTGGCAAAGCATGTTCCTCGTGATTGTATCTGATGCCCCAAATATACTCACAAGCAGAACACTCCGATCTTTCTGCACAGTCCAAAGAATAGACCCAACTTCATCCAAGGTCCTTCCAACTCTTCCAGGAAGCACTTCTCTGAAGCAGTAATCATACAATTTCAAATTACTCAATGGTTGCATTTCCAGTAAGTTGAAGTCAAGAGAACTTCCCTCCAATAATTGGGAGTCAGGCCCAGCAGTTTTCCCATAGTTAACACCAGCATCCCTGTGAGAGACACTGAGTGCTCTCTCATGCTGAAAATTTGTGTAGATGTTAAAATAACCTCTAGAGTGAATGAATTTAATGAACCAAGGAGTCCAGATCCTTTCTCCCATCCTTTTGTACCACCCATTAGTCACCTGCAAGTATATTGGATTTAGAATGCATTTGAGTAAAGAGTTCAAGTAATGACAAAGAGGGAGGGAAAAAAAAAATCAAACAGGAATGTGAAGAAGGGGGGACATTAGATTACCATTCCATCAAGAAATGGCTTGATGCCCTTGGACTTGTGCAGATCATACCACAACCTAAACTCTTTCCAAGGTTTTGGAAAGAGAACCTGACCCCAAGTACCAACCAACTGGTACAAGAAAAGATGTGTTTCACTATCCAATTGTATTTTGTTTCCGTGTTTACCTGAAATCAGCAACCAGAAAAGCCAAATCACTCTAAAGGGTCAAAAATTCTAAAAGAAAAAGGTAGGTAATAAGGACTGTAGATTCTAGAATCAACACGATTTTCATAAGAAAGCTCAACTATAGATGAAAAAATTTGTATTGGGTACTTTCTACCAACAATGAAATTAATGCATATTGTTTTTGACACGTCATTATAGTTCTTAGAAATCATAGTGGAATCAATAAAAAAACTTAGCGTCGCAATGAATGGAACAGCTAGCTTCACATATGCTTGTGCAATTGCAAATACTAAATGGAAACTTTTCAAGTTCGCATCTGATCTGCATACAAGTAAAAGATTACAAGGAATTCAGCCTAGCAATTAACTCAATATCCAATCCAAGGTCCACTTTTAACATAATGCAAGGCCTCAAACACTACTTCTAAAGCTAGTTTTAGCATGACAAGCATCACTACATCACCACGAAATCCAGTATAACAAATCAAGCAGTGCACAAATCCCAACATTAAACTGAAATTAGTACCTGGGACAAACCTTGGACGCTGAAGTGACGCACCATAGATAGAGAGACTAGAGTTTGACACATTGTAATAGTAATTAACTATCAAGCCCCTCACAAATTTATAAAAGAAAGGCGAAACCTCCAAATCGTCCTCCACAATAAAGGCAAATTCATGATCTGAACTTGGCCACCAAGCTTCTAGCCATTGAGCTTGCAACCCAACATTATTAGTCCTATAATGCACAACTTTGTTTCCAAATTTCCAATCAAACCCATCAATAAAGTTCAAAATTTTTCGTGATTCCTCAAGTTTTTGATCAATAACGTTGGTGGATTCATTGACGAGGGCAAAATGATCAATGTGGATGTGGAGGTGGACAGTATCGCCGCCGTAGTTGGCGGCAGAGAGGGAGTTGAGGCACCTGGAGAGTGAGTCCAGGCGGTTAAAGGCAAGAACTTTGATTAGGAAAGTAAAGTTTTGAGGGATAAATGGGGGATTTAGGGCTTTGATTGGGGTGTTAATTGGAGTGAAATCAGGGTTAGGGATGGGGTGAGCGGATTGGTGGAGGGAGAAGAGGACGATGGCACCAATGGAGGTGAAAATGATGGGAAGAAGTAAGTTTCTTGGTGGGCCTACCATTTTAGGATTTGGAATTAAGAGAAGAGAAGGGCATCTTGGGGTTCAGGGTTTTTTCAACTTGTTTGAGTTTTGAGATGATGTTTGGAGGAGTAGAAGAGAGACACAGATCTCATGTCCGCAGGATGACCTGAGTTTTCTGATGCAGTTCATGGTACTTGGAAGTTGGCGGTGAAAAAAGACACTGAAGGCAGTGTTAAGGATGGATTTGAGAAGGATTGTGAGGCCCAAGAGGGTTTTATTTCGAGGGTGGAGTCCAAATTGGACTATTGTTGATCTGGGTGGTGAAATTTTGGCAAAAATGAATAGGCCGAGATGAAGAAGATTCATAGTAATTTGTATTATGCCCAATTGATTTTTGTTAATGTAATGTGTAGATTAATTAGAATCTTGGGACTTTGGATGCCAGCCATCTTGTGAGGTATTTTACCCCCTTAGCCATCCGTCTAAATGTTCGATTGTGCTGTTTTTTACTTGGACCAAAACAGCTCAGAAAACACTTTTAGGACTGAAACCTTAAAAAAAGAGTCCAAAGGTTGGATATGCTGTCTTTTACTAGGATTTTTTTTTTTTTTGAAAAGTTTGATCCTTGTTTTCTAACTCTATCTCTTAATTTTCTTCAATGCTCATAACAAAAAATGCATTCAAAAATATTTTGGGATCCAGTATTAGCAAGTGATCTCAAGGACAGATTGTTATTAATTGTCAAAGACAAATAAATATATATATGCATTACCCTCACGTTCCATGTCTTGTAATTTACTATAGACTGATACAACAGAAAATGTGGGTGTTTAATGAATTGGGGTTGCTCTTCTTTTTCCAGGCAAACTTGTTCTTTCTCCTTCGCTGTATAGCAGTTTCTTTTTTTCCTTGAGAGAATATAGAATATGCTCTACTACCTGCTTAAATACTAGTTATACAACAGAATATGTGGCTATCCAAAGAAATTTGGCAGCAACTATACACAACTTAACAGATGCTCCAATGAAAGAGAGTAATGGGGACAGCTTTTGGTCAACTAACAGAAAGAGAAAGGACGGTCCCTTGAGCATACTGCCTAGCTACATGCTTATGGAAAATAACATCATCTCGACCGGCCACAAGCCCTCTTTCTTATGTTCGTTCAAACGGACCAATCCTTCTTTTTCGAGAATCAAGAGAGATACTACTACAACAAAGTGTAGGACCCATCATAGAAGTTTTTAAGTTTTCTTAAACATGATGACACCCATAACCATGATGACACTTGACACACCTTCCTTCTTGGTCCATCGATCCTTCTCAGTTCCACATTGAATGTGTATTTTGGTAACACAGTTTGAAAATTTTTGTTTTGAAAAGTGTTTTTAATTAAAATTTATCCTTTTTAAAATAGAAGTTTTGATAATTTTAATGTATTCATATAAAAATTATTCGAAAACATCCAAACTGCAACCTCAAATATAACGAGAACGGTTCTCTCACTGTGGTTTTTAAGGTCGCAAGGAAGAAAGTTCTATACTCATCCAGACATAAATGACTTACTGTGTGTCTGAATTCATAGTCACGCCAATTTTAATACTTGTTTGAAAAAAATAAAAAATAGCGACAAGGTCATAAGGGCGGCTTTTTCTTTCTTTTTTCTTTTTTGCTTCTTCTTTGCTTTCCTTTTTAAAAAGTAAAGCCTACCACACCCCACCTTCGCATCTTCCATTTAAATTCAACGAAAAATTATCATTCTGCCTCACCGTGAATGAACAGTCAAATTCTGTCAAAAATTTCAATCCTGGGTAGCCTTAAGTTGCATCTGATCCAAGAATCTCAAAAACTTATCTCTCATTTCTCATTTATTCCCCTTCCTTTTTAAGTGTTTTCATGATCTGTAAGTTCCCAAGTTCCTCCCTTTTTGTCTCCATTCTTAACTTTTCCTTAACCCCAAAAGATATTAGAAGCTAGGGTTTCATTTTCATGTTTCTCGAGCTCTTCACTTTGACTTCTTAGCAGTACTATTGTGTATGCTTTGTTGTTTCAGTCTTTGCTTTTTGCTTGTGTGTGTTTTCTCTGATTATGATTTAATTAGTCTTTTTAAGAAACTTCTTTGGTTTTTGTTCAGAGTTGTTTTTTTTTTTTTATAGTTAAAGTTTATCACAGTTGAAGGTTTTCCTTTTGATTTCATAGATGATTGAAGAAAATAAAATTTTGATCTTTTGATTCTTACTATTTTTGTTTATGTTATTTCAGCTCTGTTAGTTGATTTTAACTGTCTGTTTGGTTGCTGAGAAAAAAACTCAGGAAAATGAGGTGAAAATTAAATATGAAAATCGATTGTTTTTCTTGGCTTTGGAAGTTTTGATTCTCTTTGCTATTGAAAAATTAAAAATCTTAAATTTGCTTTAAGCAAGTAAAAAAGGGTCACTTTCTTTTTCCTCCGATTTATTACTTGGTTGAGTTAATTTCGGTTGGCAAACACTGACCCACATTTTGCTTTGTTGTTGAGATGTCCTTTTACAATGATTTTCTGGTGAACTCCATTTCTGTTAATATTACCCATTTGGTTGTAAAACAGGTTAGCTAGATTGTGACAATGACTAGGGTAACCCGTGATTTTGGAGATACTATGCAGAAAGATGCTGTCCCAGCTGTATCAGCCGATGTTGCATTTGCTTCTAGTCGGTTTCCTAATTACAAAATTGGAGCTAACAATCAGATTGTGGATGCAAAAGATGACCCAAAAGTATTGTCCATGAAGGAGGTTGTGGCACGCGAGACTGCTTTACTTTTGGAACAGCAGAAACGCCTCTCTGTCCGTGACCTTGCCAGTAAATTTGAGAAGGGATTGGCTGCTGCTGCTAAGTTGTCAGAAGAGGTTAAGTTTATTTTTAGTTGTATTCAGCATTTTGTGTTGGTTTTGGCAACTTGATTTGTTTTGCTTTAGGTGGATTATTGAAGCTAATTTTCTAATAACCTAACCTCCTCAACCATCTGTTAGTTTATCCTTTTGGTTAATGAGAAATTTAAGTTGGGTTAGGGAAATAGCTGTCTAACTTATTCTTAATGTTATTTTTCAACCATGCCAATTGGCAGTAATAAATTCAGCTGAGCGATTACAAGGTTTTATCTACTTGTTGTTTTCTTGTCAACTGAGTGGAGCATCAATTAATTGTGGAAAGAAGTTGGAAGTCTGCTGTTTCTTTCATTTCAGTGCTTGTTTGTTTCTACATTTCTCAAGCTTTAAGACTTTGGAATTGTTAATTTCTGAAGAGAATTGATGAATATAGGAAATCAATTTGTAAGCTATTCAACTTTGGATTACAGGCTAGGCTCAGAGAGGCAGCTTCATTAGAGAAACATGTTCTGTTGAAGAAGCTTAGGGATGCACTAGAATCATTAAAAGGACGTGTGGCAGGTACAAACAAGGATGATGTGGAGGAAGCTATTGCCATGGTTGGTCTTACTTCACTGCTTCTTTTATCAAAATTATCATCCAAAAAATCTATTTCATGTGTAACTTAATGAGTTGGTTGCTGCTGCCATATCATCACTTAAGATTTATGTGGAAGATGAATTATGGTCACTTCTTCTAGGTGGAAGCTTTGGCAATTCAGCTGACTCAGAGGGAAGGAGAGTTGATTCAAGAAAAATCAGAAGTCAAGAAGCTAGCAAATTTTCTTAAGCAGGTAATCTAGTCTTTGATAGAATTTAGCAAATTTTTCTTCAGCAAGCAAATTCCAGTCAGTAAGTTTTCCTCTATTCTTTTCTTTTTTTAATTTGAGATAACAATAAGCAAACACCTGCTCATCTTCTAGTGCTTGTATCTATGCGTAGGCTTCAGAAGATGCCAAGAAACTTGTCGATGAGGAAAGAGCTTATGCTCGTGCTGAAATTGAGAGTGCCAGAGCAGCAGTTCAGAGGGTGGAAGAGGCTATTCAGGAACATGAACGAATGTCTCGAGCTTCGGGGAAGCAGGTTTATATTAAGCATCAGTTATTAAAGCTTCAATTGGAGTTTGGCCCTTTGTTAAGTTATAAATTATAAAAGAGATCTCGTTTTACGGGGACATTAGATAGATATCCTCTTTATTGCACTTCATATTTCAATACTTCTAGTATTGAGCTGGTGCTGCTTTTGAAATTGACGAGGACAATTTGATGTCCTTTTCTTGTCTTTTTACGGCCCTTTTGTGTTTGAAACCTATTAAGTTTGCAGTTTGTGCATTATTTTGTTACATGTTTTTTTTTCATCTTATTTCTTGACAAAAGTATTTTTGTGTGGCATGTTAGGACTTGGAAGAATTGATGAAGGAGGTTCAAGAGGCTAGAAGGATCAAAATGCTGCATCAGCCAAGCAAGGTGTGTGCTGGATCTTTGGTGGAAAATTTATTTCCCACTGGACATTCTAATTATGAAACTAATTTGTTTCACTTTTCTACGAAATTTGGCGAAGTTCTTGTAACATATTTGGGTTTCATGATTGGCTTTTCAGGGTTTTTATCTATTTCTTCAAGCCTATAATGTGTTTATAACTGCATTTCAAACTAACACTCAACAATCATAATTCTTAAATTGCTTTCAGATGCATGTATTTGTCCATCTTGGGAACCAAGTTCTTGGAAGTCAGAACTATTAACAATCTTGAAATTATAGTTTGCTTCTGCTATAAATATTACATTTGCAGACTTTTTGAATAGGCTTGGATCATAGTTATGAGCTGTGAGTTATCAGAAATCTCTAAGTTCAAGGGAGATTGAGTTTCTAGGATAATAATTATTTACTTCTCTGCAATACTTGTGGTGACTGATAACATTTCTGAACTTTCAAATCTGTAGTCACAAATTCATTTATTGATAACAAGCGAATTGAACATGTGTTTGTAGGTTATGGACATGGAACATGAGCTACGAGCATTGAGGATTCAACTTGCTGAGAAGTCTAAACGTTCTCTGCAGCTTCAAAAGGAGGTATTATTGTTGTCATTGTTGTTGTTGTTGTCGTTGCTGCTGCTGCTACAAAGATATTATGTGTTGGTCATAAATATCCTTTGTAACATCTTCTCTGAAATGGTCATTTTAACTGCATATATTGAACATGCTTAGTTGTTGCTGCTTTTCCTCCATAATCCAATCTTAGAATTTTCATTTATCATTTGAGTTTTCTGGTTTACTTACCCCTGATTGTGATTTTAGTCCCTAGTTTCCAAGCCAATAGTTGTTAGAGTTCTCCTGTTTCAGAATCTTGTTTAAAATCTTCAAGCAAGTCAAAATATGCAAAACCTTCAGGCAATATGTTTGAGTTGGTAATTTTTGTAATTCAATCATTTTGAAGTCTTTGGATAATTTAGGATCTGGTTTTGGCTCTGATAAGTGTTGTATGCTTTTGTCAGAGCAACTCGATGGTTAAGAGGAAATTCTTTATGCATGCTTCATTCTAAAAACGTTTCCTCTGAGATTTTGTTGTTTATTTATACTGAACTTGTTCAATAATATAAAAGTGAATCGACTTCTTAAATCTTCTTTTTCCTCCCTGTCCTTCTCAGCTGGCAAGGAGCAGGCGAGGCGAGCAGAGCATATTTCAATTATTTGAATTGGATGGAACCGAAGCTTTAGGTTTATGTTTGCGAATCAATCCTTGCTATGATAATGCACCAGAACTTTCAAAATGTTCCATTCAGTGGTATCGTCTAACATCTGATGGTGGCAAAAAGGAGCTTATATCAGGTATCTATCTTCAATCATATTTTCTTTGATGCTTTGGACAATTGAACAAAACACAGTAGATGCTTCATGGCTGATTCTGTTTTATTAGAGGATAGCATTTCATTCTTTCTTAGGCCATGTTTGGTATAAGGGGAAAGGAGGTGAAAAATTACAAGGGTAAATTTTCTTCCCCCTTCTTATTTAACACACAAAATTTGGGCGGAGGAAAAATAATGGAGGGTAACACTTAACGCCAAAAGTGAGGTTAAGTATTACCCTCCAAGGGTGGGAGTAAATTTGTTATGGTGGAAATTTTTTATTTTTGTGCTTTCCCTCTGTTTTTTTAAATTTCACATCTAATCTTTTTCTTATTATCTTACACTTTGCATCTGGGACCCATCAATTTATATTTTTTCTTATAATAAAATTTAATTCAATTTATGATTTAATTTTTAATGAGACCCACTATTAGTCATTATCTTTTAATCTTACACCCAACTCATTTGACATTTCACCCCTTAACAATTGTTTACACTCTTAACACTTCATCCTTACAGCTTACTCCCTAAACATTTCCCCTCCAAATTTTTAACCCCATACCAAATGCAACCTTAGTGTCTTTAAGTTTCTTGAGTTGCTTTCTTTAAGATCTTATCTAGCCACTGTCCGCCCTCGGAGTTTGTGAAATAATTGTCATTTTGTGAACCAAACAGTTGCTATGAAGCATGAAATCTGTTAGTACACGACAAATGAATTATGTCACCCTTTTTGTTAAGCAAGCAACTTGTGGGATGCAATGCTGCTTATACTCCAACACTCAACTATTAACAAAGAATTTTTTATTTGGATATGAGGAGTGTGATCTGAAATTCAATTGACTGAGATTTCAGTATCTCGATATAGGAACTGAATCGTGGGCCTATGTTATCCATCAAGGCTATAATAAAATATGGGATGATGATTTATGTGAAAATGGGTGTTTTCCATGAATTGGCGGATTTTCCTAATGAGTGCTTGTGGGATTCATGAAGTAGAAAAACATATTTAGAGTTGTTTACGATTTATGCATGGTTACCACTAATGCTGCATGAAAGAGACTACTGACTTCTTTCATTAATTTTACTCTCTACAGGAGCTACCAAACCAGTTTATGCTCCTGAGCCTTTTGATGTTGGGCGAGTCCTGCAAGCTGAAATAATTTCTGATGGCCAACAATTCTCTTTGACCACTAGTTGTCCCATTGATCCTGGTCTGTATTTGATCTTCTTCTGTAATTTGGTTTTTGTTTTCCAATTTTTATTAACCCAGCTCAACTAAGCTTTGACCCCAAACTAGTTGGACTGGCTACATAATCCTTTTTCTTCTGTCACTTCTGTTTTTTTTTCCCACCAAACTTTCTAGGGCTGTTTTTGGTTTCTTTTAATTATGGAACGTGATAATCAAAATTCTGTGGTTCACTCATTTGTTTGTGAAGTTATGAACCATGCATGCATAATTTAGAAGAGAAGATTAGCTGATGTGATTTTGTGAACAGCTGCTGGTCTGGGAAGCTATGTGGAGGCACTTGTGCGAAAACATGATGTTGAATTCAATGTAAGTTGTGCTAACACTATTTTAACCCCCCCCCCTCTCTCTCTCTCTCTCTCTCTCTTTTAAACTTAAGCAGCTAAACATGTAAAGTGCAATATTTTGGAATTATTCTTTCATGTTATGCACTGCTGATTTTTGTCGCCCTTCTAACATGAAGGGTGGGTTGTGGGTCAAGTTCTGGCTAGGCTGACCATTGGTGCCATTCATTGGTTTAAATTGACAAAAGTACCCACAGATGCCTCGCATAGTGTAGACAAAATTGCATGTGCATGTGTTAATTGGATATATGTTTTTTTTTTGGTTTCCGAATCCAGAGGATTTGCTTTTGTGTTCATTCTTAACGCACTTGCTGCACTGTGTTAGTAAAAAGGTAATGATTTTTGACTATTTGGAACTTAGTACAATGAAGGTTCTTTGACTTTCATGGCCTTAGTAGAGTGTGCGTGCGTGCGCAGAAAATAGGAATAGATGTATATTAGAGATTCTAAGGTTGTGATAATATGAAAGACACAACCCTAGTTTATGGGAATGTCACAATGAGGGATGGCAATGGGGACGGTTAGGGTGCCTGATTCTGTTTCCCTTGTCAAGTTGCAGATGGTATTTTCTTAACTATTGCAAGGATCAAGGTGGCATTTACACTCGCATACTTCTATTGCTTTTTGTTGAGCAAGGAAACATACACATATTCAAGTCTCTGTTTAATGTTTCATGTTATTGCTAAAATGCTGTCGGATTTGAGATTGGCAATGATAGTGATATATTTTTTTTAATTGAGATTAGCAATGAACTTAGACCTCACCCCTCTTGTTTTGCAAGTGTCATTGAGCTAGAAGCTCATGGGTCAAGGGCATCATATTAATAAGGAAGCCATTATTCACAATTTAATTTTGTTTACTTTACAGGTCGTTGTTACCCAGATGAATGGGGTAGATCATCCATCAGAATCTATTCATGTGCTTCATGTTGGGAAGATGAGGGTTAAGCTTCAGAAAGGGAAGTCAACAAATGCTAAAGAGTACTACTCTACTTCAATGCAGGTATAATTAGCTGTTTATTCAGATAAGATGGTTCTGTGTTTGTAAAAGTCCATACCTTCACTTCTCGTTTGCCTTTATTCCCATTTAGATGCAAAATAGCATGGACACACACACACCTCTTAGGTCTCTAAAAAGTTATCAACAGCTCTTTTATTGAACATTAGTGTCTTAATTTAGTTTTATTAATAAATGTGCTTTTGGATCGGCCATTTCTCACACTCTCTTATGCTTTAGCTGTGTGGAGTTAGAGGAGGTGGGAATGCTGCAGCCCAAGCATTGTTTTGGCAAGCAAAGAAAGGGCTTTCCTTTGTATTAGCATTTGAATCTGCAAGAGAGAGGAATGCAGCCATTATGCTTGCAAGGAGGTTTGCTTTTGATTGCAATGTAAGTGCTCAAAATTTATCCATAAATTCCAGTATTAAAGTTTTATACATTATCGTGATTCATCCTTTTGTCTCGTCCACAAGCGAAATAACCATTTATTTATTTTTTCTTGCAAATTATTGGAATGTCAGATCATGCTCGCAGGGCCAGATGACAGAGCTCCTTTAGGATCCTAAACCAACCTCCATAGTTTTCTGTTTCACTAATTGTAATTAAGTTGAGTTTGCACATGTATCATAGGTTTGTAATGGTAGGATTTGGCATGTATGATTGCGTTATGGGCTTTCACCCTTATTTTTTCGTTTTCATTCTTAATTTTTTTATCTCAAGGCATTGTTTTTTAATTTGCCTTTTTATAGAGTTAACATATTCCCATTTACGAATGGAGATGGATTGGAGCTGTGTCCCAAATTTGTTAACAACAACGGCAGGTGTTGAATGGGTTTTGTATGATGGCTACACAATTGATGATTGTTGTAAGAGACATGTACTGTATTTCTTCTAGAAGCTTAATGCTGTGTCTAATATTCTAATTTGAGTTTTAAATTAGGCAAACTGCATCATGGGTTATGCATGGGATTGTTTCTATATGATGACACTTTCACCTACCATGTGAATCTTGCTATATAATTCTCCTATTCATGTAATCGAAAATGCAAAAACTTTGTGAGACGTTTATCCTTCTAAATTGATGGAAATGTCAAAAACTGATCCGCAACGTGGCATTTCTATCTCGACGATGTCATGCCTGCCGGTTACTCTTCAAACATGCAATACGCAACAACATATATCACTGCCCAGGTACCAAATAAAGCTCGGATCGTATTATTTTACTGATTTGATATTGATATGTGATTGATCAGTTGTCTGTGTCATGCCATCAGGCAAATTTCATCGAAAACAAGGCAAGAAATTTGTCAGCGTTGAGCTCTATTGTGGCGGTTTCCGTAATGAATCCTGGTCAAGCCTTTCAACCAGCACGACATGGCAGCAGCTCGAGATGCTGTCCTCTGAAAACAACACTGACCCCAAAGTCGTCAATGGTAAAAGTGTTCTCCGTCGAGATTCACTCGTTCTGTGAGGATTATTTTAGAAACACGAGAAGAATAGCACAACTAGCATAACATATTTAATTCATGTCTTATAGAGAGGTTTCAAGCTTAATTCTCTCTCTCGCATATAACCCACACCATGAAAGCTATCACCAGCAAACCTTCAAGGTCAGTTTGCTTTTTATTATTATTATTTTTTCTCGGTTGTTTTCTATTTCTAATATCAATAAAACAATATTTGGGTCCAGAAAAGTTCTTATTTTTTTCCATCATCACAACAAGTGCATTGAATGAATACCGATCTCCTCAATGATGACATGCATTATTATGTGCACTAGATGCACCAGTAAAGTATTCAATGCTTATGCTTTCTTAGATGATCCAAAATGCCTAAGCTTATAAACTCCAGAGCTAGCCTCCTTTGGCAGTACCTCTCTTTCAATGGTTGCTAAGCTAGTATATATAGAACTGCTATTGTCCAGTTTCTACTAGCCCGTGCCTTCTGTTAATATATCAGTCTTTGGGTTAGCATTCCAAATTGTGGCACTCATTCTATCCGCCTTTTTGAATGAGCCACCTTTTCGTTTACTTTCATCTTGTTTATTGACACCAATTTTTCCACTCCCGGAAAGTGAGTCTCTAAATGGATGAGTTAAAAGTCTGAGTACTTTTGAGGAAAAATCAGACTATAAAGTGTTGAATGCAGTCTGCACAATTTATTATGAATTAGCAAAATCAAAACAGACTCAATATCTTGCTAGTAATGACTATTTTCTTCCAAAACAGCAATTTCAAACTCTAGTTTCTTACTCAAAACTTGGCTAAATTAAGGATCGATTCTGATAAGACCGGTTAAGTTGGATAGACTAATTTTCAAAAAAAAAAAAAAAATGAATATATGAATTTTATTTTATTTTATTTTTTGAATACATCATTTTTTTCAAATTACCAATCAAGTACTTTTATCAATTTTTTCATTAACCGATAACGTGTTTGAATATCAAATTATATATTTTTCTCGTTTCTTGTAAGAAAATTTATTCTCAAATTATTCTATTATTTTAAAATTTGATAAAGAATTAAAAAAATTATTTTTTAGTTAAAATTTTCGAACTAAACTTAGTTAGGCTTGTTGTTAAAAAAAAAATCAGTTAGGTTTGAGTGTAAAAATTGAAGGAAACACAAACAAAAAAATTTTCATCCGAGAAAATCCATTTGTGTTTTTCTTCAATTTTTACTTTTAAACCGAACCATTTTTTTGACAACAATCTAACTGAATTTAGTTTGAAACAGCTAAAAAATATATATATTTAACTTATTTTTCAAATTTTAAAATGATAAAATAATTTGAAAAAGTTTCATTCAATAAAAAGATGATGAAATTATACTCGTTGTATTAGAACACGCCACCAATTAATAAATAAATTGATGAAAATACTTAATCGATAGTTTTAAAAAAAAACTTAAAGTACTCAAAAAGAAAAAAATAAAATTCATATATTTAATTGATAAAAAAATAAAATTATAATTTGGTATATTGAGAGTAACAACCACATTTTCGGTTAACGAAAAAATTAACGAAGTATTTAATTGACGAGTTTTAAAAAGATTAATGTACTCAAATAAAAAAATTAAAGTTCATATACTCTATTGAAAAAAATAAAAATTAATAATATTTATAATATAATTACGTCAAAAAACTATGGCTGTCAGTTTATGTAAAAAAAGAGTTAACTAGAGTGTGGTTATAACGCAAAAGGTATCAGCTTCCAATATGACCTCAAAAGATAAAAGTGAAAAATATGCTGGCGTAAATATAACCTGAACCCAAAACCAAATTGACAAGGCCCAGACCCAAAACATATCTGACTCACCCAGTAAAACCTCTGTTTGACGCACAATTAGTTGAGGATTTGAGGACAACAACAGTCAAGAAGAAGAGGAAGAAGAAGAATCATGTTTCTGTAATAAAACGCAGGAATCTCTGTTAGGTAATTTAATCAACTGTTTACGTGACCTTTTCTATTTCTTATTTTATTTCTCCTGTTGTGTTTGTATGTTTCATATGGTTGTGTCTTCACTTCTTATGTCTTTTTTTTTTTTTTGTTGGTAGTTTTGAGCTTTACATGGTGTGAATCCTTATGTGATTTTATTAGTTTGTTAGTTTTTTCAATTGGTTTGAGCATGTAGTATTGTATGATTGTTACCACCATGGGTTGTTGTTTGCCTTGCTATTTGTGATTCATTTGGATTGTTTTTTGTGTGATTTTCTTAGTTTATGGTCTCTTGATTGATTGTATTGGAATAGACAGGCAAAATGAGTTTATTTTTGGGGTAAAAAGTATGGAGGAGACTTAGGATGTTGATGCTAAGAGAAACTTGAGATTTCTAGGATGTTCTGTTCAGCTGGCTTGTCATTTCAACTTGCACGAAATCAACACTTTACCAATTCATAGTCTTTTGATGGAAAGGATCTAATTAGTGGTTATGGTTTCCTGATTATAATTTGTTGATGACTATTCTACTTTGGAAAAGAAAGACATGCATCAAAAGGTTCTTGGAACCAATTAAGAGCTCGTGGAATGGGAAGGGACTATGTATTGTATTTCGTGGATAGACTAGTGATCATAGAGGGCCACTCATTAATTTCGTGATACTGACAGAAGATCGACCAAAATTTTTGAGAGCTGTGACGTGCGAAAGTAAATATTGAGATGAAAATTTTCGTAGCTGTTCTGATGATTGAAACCGTTGCAGAGACTCAACAAGAAAAAATGGTTCAATTGATATCAGAAAATGCCCTGTGTCTAGAATCACATGATTCTTAGTTGAATCCCAATTTCTATATATTCCTTTGCCACCACTTGTGGTACAGACCATTGGTGTCTGCATGAAGAGAGGCAGGAAAGTGCAGAATCTACCTTCCTCTTTTTTTTTTCAAGCGACACAAGATATTAATTGATGGTTGGAACAGAATTAGACACCTCTTCTGCCTCAGGCATTCATTGCACCCAATGAATTGAGAAAGGTTAGTATGAATTTGCAAGGTTTTCAAGGTGTTTAGATAAGTTAATAGATCATGATTCAGTGCATGATAGAGAGGATATACTGATCGAAAACGTCCGCGAATTGTCTAGGGTACTTCGGCATTCACTCTCCATAGGTTAGCCATAAAGCTTTTAGGTAACCTTGTTTCTTGTCTTGTTGTGAGAAGAACTGGAATGCTTATCACTTAACTTGCATCTAAATATTGTTTGCATCTTAAAAATGTGGTTCACTCTGTTGTTAAATTGGCTGTGATTAACAAGATGAGCCATGGAAGATAAATTATGAAAAATGGTGACATTGATGCTGTTGGAAGTTAATCCTCTAGTTAATCTAGGAAAGTGGTGGGTATCATCAAAGTTTACCGTTGTGAATAAATTGTTTTAAGAGAATACCAATATGGAGCTTGCCCCTCCAATTTAATAGTATCACCTATGAATTATTCCCTTCATTGCTGCCTTTTTGGTCATCAAAAGCCATAAGGATCTTTGATTGTGACACATCACTTGGAACTTTTTTTCCTGTCCCTTGTGTTATCGAATCACGTCTGTATCCTCACTCACATGGTAATTGACATTATCCTTTCATTTGACAGACGCATGGAATACGAGCCTGCAGATTATAGGCTTTTACTGGTCCCTATAAATTTTGCATTAAACAAAGGATGTTTCCATTGAACTTGAACGTCCAAAGGTAAAGATAATCAAAAGTTCCGAATTAAGATGGCCACTGAAGAGAGAACTCTAGTCGAAATATTAGAAGAAAACAACCTCATTGATCTTGCCAAATATATAAACTATGCCAGTGCCCCACAGGCTGGTGCCATAGCAACATTTTCAGGCACAACTCGTGACACTTTTGAAGGCAAAACGGTAGTGGAGCTAAGATATGAAGCATACGTACCAATGGCGATACGCCAGATCAAATCCATCTGTTCATCTGCTAGATCATCCTGGAATATCCACTCCATTGCTGTTGCACACCGCGTGGGCACAGTTCCAGTTGGAGAAACAAGTGTCTTCATTGCAGTATCGGCCGTTCATCGTGCTGATGCCCTGGATGCTTGTAAGTTTTTGATTGATGAGCTAAAGGCTTCTGTTCCAATATGGAAGAAGGAGGTTTATTCTAATGGAGAGGTTTGGAAGGAGAATTCAGAGTTTATGGAGAGGAAGTTGGAGCTAGGGAAAACAAATGGGAGCTGTTGCCGAAGAAAAGCCAAGGTTGAGGCACATGGTACAAAGGAGGGTTGCTGTGGAACTAAGGTCAAAGTGGCTGATGGAGTTGCAGCAGAGATTAGCACCAGTGATGCAGGGACTGAAGGAACAGTTTAAAAGAGTTAAATACGATGAATCTCTCAATTTTCAAAAACCACAGAGATTTGATGACATCCAAACTGTTTTATACCACGCGATTATTCTCGTCATGAAACATTGCACATGAAAATGTGCTAGCTTTTTAGCACAAGTCTCTCTAATAATTGGCTTAGCCTTTAAATTTGTACAGTGTAGTTGACTTGGTTTTATTCCGCACAAAATGTTATTTTATTTTCTTTCGTCTCATGCTTTCCTGAAGCTTCTCTCTTGGTCAAGCCTAGATCGACAGCTTTCCCCTTTCCCCAGCTGACACTGATCAACTGTGACGTATCCATCCCAACTCGAAGTCTGGGCCTCTTTGTTTTCAGAGGGTATCTTTTGTCTCTGTGTATATTGTTTTTGAAGACTTATTGTCAGAAAATGTAAGTGGCAATATAAATAAATATCTTAGGCTATACTGTCAGAAAATATCTATCCCAACTCAAAGTCTGGGCCTCTTTGTTTTCAGAGGGTATCTTTTGTGTCTCTGTATATTGTTTTTGAAGACGTCTGTGTATATTGTTTATGTAAGTGGCAATATAAATAAATATCTTAGGCTAACACAGTCTCAGGCTTTCAGCGACAGAAAAAAAAAAGGCGCAAATTAGGCCGAGCAGGAAGCATACGCAAATCATAAGGCAATTTAGCGTTGGCTAAAAGTCTCTCAAACCTAACCAACCCCCATCCTCCCCCCAACACCATTTTATATGCAGTAGGCAGTTACTGTTATAACCCACACATTATCATTGCAGATGTGTAGCTGAAATGCTCAGTGCACAAGATGTGTGATTTCTGTGTTCAAAACACTATAACCTCCAATCCATCAACTCACCATGAAAGAGAAAATAGAAGTATTCAGATGAAAAGGAACAAAGAAGTTCCTTTTGGGGGTGATAATAGTCTTTCAGTCAGCAACTCAGCAGGCCAGCAAACTTATTGTATCCAACTGCTAAATTAGAGAAATGAATACAAAGAAAGTAAAAGAATCAATCAAATCAAACAATTCTCACATAGTTCGACAGCTGCTTCACCAAAAGGAGAAGGATACAATAAGAAGACTGCGATCATGATAGCAGCATGATCTTCCCTATTAACTAACCATTACTGGATACATGGAGCCATCGAAAACACTCAGACCTTCAAAAGATATGAAACTTGTTCACGCGAATATTGTATAAGAAATTCTTCATGGCGATTCAGGCGAAAGGCTTCTGGCTGGTGTAAGAAGAGCCACAGCACCACGATCTTCACTTAAGAACTTCTTGTAGACAGCCTTGAGCTTACTTCCAGCAGCTGCAGAGTGAAATTGAACCAGAAGCTTTGCACAATCCCTGTCGCATGACAGATAGAAAACCATTAAAAAATAAGGATGTGGCATCCAATCACCAACCAACACTTTGTGCCAAATTATGGTGCTTAAAGGTCACAAACTAGAGAAGCCTATGTTCCAAATTATGGCAGAATCAGAACGAACATAGTTTTAACTTAAGTATGATCCATATCTTTAGTTAAAGAAAAGTTACCGTAACATATCTTCAGTGTAGCCAGTGTGGTGCTTTAAAGTTTCAGTCCAGAAAGGGCTCCTATCCAGAGTACATCGAGCAGCATACACAGCTGAGGCAGCAATTTTTGAGGGACCATACTTGACAACAATCTGATATTGCATCAGACCAAGTTCAGACAGAAAGAACGCCAGATTCTCTGTCTACATTGGTGAAACATTAACCAATTAAGATGGGTCGTATCAAGGAGGTATCTCAACATGAAAAATAAGGACTTGGAAACAAAGTTTTAACAATGTTTTTGCATTAGTACCACTTTATCGGATGGAATGGAGGCCTTGATATATCTAACCAGGAAGACATATGGCGTTGGAACAGTTAGATACCACTCTAGCTTTCCCAAGATTGCTTTCTCCATTGCCAGAACTTGCTTTCTTACATAGGCATTGTCAGATATGCAAACAAAATCATTAACCTGCAAATTTCAGAACAAAAAAATCATGTCAATAGAGTGATTTCACTAGAAAAAACAAAAATTCCAAGGCAATAAGCATTGAAAAGTGAAGAATACTGCACCTCTGGTGCCCATATTTCTTCATACTTGCAGGCTACCAGCATTGAGCTGATGCCAACCAACTGAAGTTCCCTCCTCGGTACCACCTTCACTGCTAGAAACCTATCCACAATATTTATGGTGAGATAAAGAGTTTCCGGCATCAGTTCAAACTTTCGATGAACTTCAATCAGCCAATCTACGAGGATTGATCTCATCTTTGCATTGATGTCTGGTTGGAATTGCAAGTAGGCATGTACCCTACTGTCAACCTGCATAAAACAACGGTATGAGAGAGAGAGAGAGAGAGAGAGAGAGAGAGCAGGTTTGACAAATAGAGGATATCCTTACCTCTGTAAGCTTGTAAAATTCATACATATCATCAACATAATCAACGACTGCCAACTCATTATTAACATCAGCAGCATCAATGTCCTCTAGTGTATCCTCAGGCTTACCACATGCGGCCTAATGTTACAAACCACATCAGTTCACAAACAACCGAAAGGATAAAACAAATTATACATAAACCAAAAGTGCAACTAGATGATTACCTTGCTTCGGGCAGTGAGGATTGAAGTGAGTGTCTTGACTTCTTTCCTTGATACTCTTCTGCTAACAGGTTTTCTCTTTTCAGTTTCCTCAGAGCTTATCACAATCACATCCTCAGTTCTATGCTTCTCATTCACCTTCTTTATTGCTGCTGCTGGTACCTTTGTAGCTGCTGCAGGCGCCCTCACATTACCAGCAGCTGCAGGATCTACAACTTCTGTGATTGGTTTCTGCCAATTGACAAAGCGTTCAATGCATATTCATTAGTTAAGATTCCAAAAGAACCTGACTCTCAGTTACAAAACGGTAACTCTAAAAAAGGTTAGCTTACCTTCCCTTGCAAAGAGACACGATCATTCACTAAATTGCCGATATCTTGAAGCACTCTTCTATTCCTTCCCTCTGCTGGTACGAAAGCCTTCTGCTTCGCTTCTTCTAAAGGAAAAGGAGATAAAATCAATCAATAAATATAAATACAGAAATCATATTTTCACAAAAAACTCGACGCAAAGACTTTACAAGGAACTTCAAGAAGGCTGCAAGATTGTACAAAATTGATGAAAGACAACCATTGTTAAAACATGATGATATCAGTGTCAAATTTAGGAGAAGACCATATAGGGAAGTGAAAAGAATTCAATACATCACTGAAGAAAAGAAAGGAATGAAAGATACTCATGAAATCAGAATGCCAATGACCCAGCCAAGCTTCGGATCAAACAAGAGAATCCCAACATCAGAACGGAAAATATGAAAGAATAACTATAGCAATGATACCAGGAGAATAGAAATCCAATACTCATGCAAATTAATAGAGAAAAAATCTTAAAGCATTTGCCTTTATATACTATCAATTAATCAAACAGCAAAACCAAGTGATAAGTATGAAAACCATGATCAAACCCCAGAGACAGCTTTAAATTTCAATGTAATAAAAAAAGAAAGAAAGTAACCCTCAAAAGAGGAACATAAATCAAAACCCAATTTGCAAATTCAATAAAGGACTCCCAAAGTACATTTCTTTTCATTATAAACCAAAATTACCATACAACAAAACCATAAATACACACATGAACATACTATAAAGTAACCAAACCCCAAAGAAAGATATCACCTATGCATGCATTCAGACCAGACCATAAAAACCCTTCAAAATAAATAAATATATATATATAAAATCAAACAAGAGATAAACAAAAATCATAGCCCAGCAAGTGGTTTTTACCTAAACCATATCAAATACCATGATCACACCTAAAACAGAACCAAACCCACAAAGAAAGAACCTTTCACTCATACAAAACCGCAAAGAACCATTCGAAGTTCAAAAAATGAAACAGAAACACAAAAGGAAACAAAACCCATAAAAGAAAGAAATCAAAACCCGAGAACCGATTTCTTTTACCTCTAGTCTGTTGTAGAGGAACAACAAGATTTCTCGAATCCATTGCAGTTTCTTCTTCTTGATTCTGGCCAAAGACTCTTGTAAATATAGATGATAAAAACTCTTGGAGAAGACTACTTCGTGTCTCTCCTTCTTCAGCGTTATTGGTCGCCACCCTTCTTTATCTTCAAACCTTTTATCTCTCTCTACAAACCCTTTTATCTGTCTGAAATCTCTGTGCAAATTCTTTCTATGTTTCTTGTATTTGTTTGATTCTGCTTATTTGAAAAACGAGAACAAGCAAGCAATGAGATCAGAGAGTCAAAGAAGAGTCCTTTTGAAGAGACGCCGCGACCCTCCAACGGTCGACTTTTCTATTAATTTCGACCGTTTGATTTTGCAGATCTGACGGATGTGAAGGGCGTTTGTGATTTTGTTAGAGCCTGACGCGCTGCAGTTTGAGTTTTGGAATTTAATGTAGCCGTTGGCTGTACGGACCATAGTACTTAACTCGTTGGAAGGGGAAAAAACAAGAAAAGAAAAGAAAAGGTTATGGGCTTGTTGCTAGTTCCTTCTCTAGGCCATTAGATCTCGTTTGGACGAGGCCCGTAATTACTAAGTCCACAGACCACCAGCTATCCTACATTTTAATATTCAACAAAAAAAAAAAAATTATTTTGAATCGTTTTTACCAAACGTACTTCTAATTTAAAATTATTTAACTCATTTTTATCATAAATTATTTATTAAAAAAATCACTTTTGAATTATGACTCGATGTCAAATGTTATTTTAAATAAATCACGTCAAATATATCCTTAATTAGTTAAAAATAATTTGCCTAGTGCATGAGAAAATCTCATAGAATTTTAGGAATTAAAATTTTAGTGCTATGTATTTATCAAAAAATAAATAATAGAAAATAGATTTTAGTGCTACTTTAGTTCGCATTATGTAATTACGTTTTTTAATTGTATATGTTTTATTTGTACTGGTTAGATCACGGGTGTAACCAGTTATATATAACAAATTTAAGTATTTTTCTATGGAAAAAACTTTTAAAATATTGATAATCATTGGAATAATTTGTCAACTGAAATAGTTTCTCTCTGATTCCTTTCACACTACGCTTTTCTATTGTCTAAGAGTATAATGATTCTTCTTCTTTTCATACCTTTTTTTTTTTTTTTTATCAATAACTTATGAATCTGAGATTGATTTTCTTAATGGAGAGAACAATTTGTCTAGCTGATTTGCAAACTGTGATCTTAGTAACTTGCGAGGAAGCTCAAGCCTCAAAAAAGTTAGATGATTATTTTATGATTATGAATTTCTTTTGTATCCATTCATCATTCTTTTTTATTAGAGATATGTATTTGTTGACTCGTTGATGTGTTCTCATATTATTTATAAGTTTGAATTCTAATAAAAACTATAGGATTATATATATATATATATATATATATATATATTGGTTTATACGAGAAAAACCGCAACCTGATCAGTACCGATTTTTTTAAAAAGAAAAAACTTAATTTTGACATACGAAATCGAATTTCAGAATACTTTTAATATTAAAAAAAACATTATGAATTTTCTATCTCTTCCACCTCTATCTTTTTGTTTAATTAATTTAAATTGGATCGATCTTTTTGTTACTTACAGTTCATATATATAGCTAGTTTTTATGATATAAACACGAAAATGCCTTAAACAAAGTGTAAAGAAAAATAAGATTATTATAAAATAGATATGTTATTTGAACCATACACTGTTAACTTAGTAGACAGCACAAACCATGCATTATATATAAAAAAACAATTATTCATTTTTTGACATCTCTATCATCTATATATGTATTTTTTTTAACTGCGGATAAAAAATATAAATATGCTAAAAATTAAATAAATATTTCTTTAGACAAAAATTATACGCGACAAAAACTACTTTATAAATATTAGAAATGCTGAACCATTGCAAGCATATGTTGTTTTTATTTATATTTTCTATTTAAAAATTATTAAACTTAAATTAATGAACTAGTTTTTGTGGCCAATACAAAAGAAATTATACGATTGGTGGATTAAAAAAAATACTCTGAACTGAAAATATTGAACTTGCTAATTGGCAAAGTAACTAACAAGGTTTATCGTACTTGACAGCTTTGAGATAATTATTTCGAGTGACTAATTATTTCTACCCAAAATTGTTATTTTAGGAATGTAAACGAAATTATTTGAATAAACAATTAGAGGTAAACAAACAAATAGAAATTTAATTTTTTGAGCATATGTAATGAATTAGAGACAAAAAAAAAATTGTCCTCGTTAAAAAAAAAATATTATAATTAAGCTGGGACAGACTTGAAATAATTAGTTTATCATATGCTGCAAAATGAAAAATAAGTGCATTATTTGCCATAGTGCGTTTGCCCCCTATAGATAAGAATCAGGTTTTTAATGGATAAGGTAGTCCTCAAATCATTTTCATCTTTATGAAAATTTCAATCCAAACACAGACTTAATAGCTATTGCAGAGAAGTAACATTTTTTTTTGTTGTTTTCTTACTGTTTAAGACCGGCAATGGCACGTGGATTTTTGGTATCGGTTCGACTGGTTTGAACTTCCGTCCTTCCATCGAACCAAGAAAAAAGAAAAGAAAAGAGAGCAATAAATGAGAATCTATTGGTGTCGAGGCAAATATAGATTCTATCAAAGATTAATAGGGTAAACGGTCTCAGTTTTTTTTTTAAATGTGTTTTCGGATCAATTTTAAGAATATCTTCGAATTAATTTTCATTTATTTCAAAATTAATTCTTAAAATAAATAAAAAATATTTTTTAAAATATAATTTCAAGTATTTTAAAAATAATGATAGTAAAAATAATCAAATCCTAACCATGAAATGTAAATAAATAGTGACTTACCAACAAGCCATCTCGTCAATAGCCCCTCTTTCTCTTTGTTGCTTTATAGGTAGCTAGCTAGTCACATGGATACAGTATGCGATAAATACCCTTTGCCTTACTGTGATTGATGAACGAGTGTGTACTTTTATTATTGTTTATGATCTAAATTTTTTTAAAAAAATCAAATATCTCAATATTATAGGTTTTTTTTTATTTTTTTAAATACATCTATTCATACATTTATTGATGATTTACATGCAATTTCAAAAGAAAATATTTTCTTTTCTTAATTTTATGGGTTAAGAAGTCTGACATCTATGAGAATTTATTAAATTATATATTAAGATATATGTTTTTAAAATTTAATTTTTTTAATTGATAAATAAACTTATTCAAAAAAATTTTTTTATCACAGTATAAAAAATAGCTTATCTAATTATTTTTATGTCTTAAAATTGTTAGAAAAATATAATTATATTTAAAAGATAAATAAAGCATACAAGAAATCACTTGTCATCATCATTTTACAAACATATCACATGCTAGAGTAATAATGGTTTTAGAAAATATCAAGTGTCTATTCAATATCCAGCAGGACCAATCCCAGAAGGTCCAGTTTTACAAGTTAAAAAAGAAGGTAGGTCCAGTTAGCAGTCCAAGCACCTGAAATCGAACATTAATAAATAACTTCTTCTCCTTATCATAAATCTCCTCCCCTGCCTTAAATTCGCCGAACTTGATTTTTTCCCCTCCTCTTCATGCCTGAAAGTTGCAATTCTCGCCACTTCTCATGGCTAATGAAATCATGCTTCCCAAACCCACAAGACCCCACCTCCAAACCTCTCTCTCCAAACCCCATCATCGCCATCTCCACCACCACCACCACCAGTCTCTCTTCTCTTCCAGATGATCTTCTCTTAGAATGCCTCTCTAGAGTCCCTTCGTCTTCCCTCCCTTCCATTTCCCTCGTTTGCCGCCGCTGGTCCCTACTCCTCCACTCCCCTTCCTTCCTCCACCTCCGCCGTCTCCACCACCTCGTCCACCCCACCATCTTCACCCTCTCCGCCCCCTTTGCTGCCACCCTCCGCCTCCAAAATGGCAATGATACCAATATCAATGACCCTTCGTGGAAAGTTGCTTCATGTCTTCCTTTACCTGTGGCCTCATTGGATAGCCTTTCTCACGCGCGCTTGTCTGCAATTGGACCAAGAATCTATATCATTGGACGAAATGAAATGTTTTGTTATGATGTCTGGAGTGGCATAATTACTTCAAGGTCGTCGATGATTTTTCCCAGAAAGAAATTTGCTACTGCAGTGCTTTCGGGTAAAATTTATGTCGCAGGAGGTGGGTCACGAGCGGGGGCAGCATTGGAGGAGTATGACCCAGAGACTGATACTTGGCGCGTGGTGTCACACGCGTTGAGGAGGCGATACGGGTGCATTGGGGCCGCTGTTGATGGCATATTTTATGTGATTGGGGGACTTAAAATTGGCGGCGCGTTGAATAATGAAATTACACGCGTCGCTACAGTGGGGTCAGAGGCCTATGTGTATGCCAGTTCAATGGATTTGTTTGATGTGGAGGCCGGATCGTGGTTAAGGAGTAGGGCAGTTCCTGATGGTGGGTGTGTGGTGGCTGCATGTGCCGTGGAAGGTTATGTTTACATTTTAGCTAGCCACGCGGTGGAGCTATCATTTTGGTGCTTTGACGCCCGTGGGCATGGCGGCGGAGGTGGAGGCAACGGTAGTGGATTTAGAGAGTGGTGTAGGATAAAGAGTCCACCATTGCCAGCACAAGTTAGAATAGACAATACGGTGAGGTTTAGTTGTGTTGGAGTTGAAAACAAGGTTGTGTTAATTCAAGTTAGCGGGTGCATCGATGATTTGTTAAGGAGAAGTGGAAGGAGTGTTCGGGGGTTGAAAGAGGGACTGGTCTTGATTTATGATTGTACTAGTGGAGAATGGAGTAGAGGGCCTGATTCGCCGGAGGTGATTCGACGCGCTGCCTGTGTGACTGTGGAATGCTAGAAGGAGTAAATTTCATGCCGAGTTTTTAGCTGTGTTCTAGTGGTGGTGCACGTTAGGCAAAGTTGGGTTATTGGGGCTGCCTTGCGCATGTCGTTTAGATAGCAGACAAAATCATGGGTGTACGTGACATGTTTTAATAATACCATTTACGATAAAGAAAAAGTGTGCGTCTTCTTCTGGTAGATGGATTTCGAAATTTTTTTAATTGAAGGCATGTTGATTTGATTGGCCTATTTTTGGCTGGAGTAAAAGAAAACTTAAGTGGACAAATTTTTTGTGTCTGTATTCTTAGATTTGTCAAATTGGATGGCTGTCTTGAGACATGTAAGTTTTAGTCATCATCATAAAGAGTATATCTTTCGACCATTTTTAAATAATTCTTCGAGTTAATCATTGAGTCTTGTCATGAAGCTCAGCAAGGATAGGAGTGGGCGCTGAAGCTTTGTAAAAACGCTCTCAAGCTTCTATCATCTACACTCGAAAGGTCCTTAAGAAATGAAATTTACACGGGTCTTAAAAAATATGAGTTTCTTAATTAGTACTCTCATCAGTCTTTATTTAATAAATTAATTTTTTAATTTGTTTTTCTAAAAATCTTTAATTTTTTTTATATTTTGAAATAGTTTCTAATCTATTCTTTTAATTAAAATTTATGATCAAATTAAACATGTGATTTGTACATAGTATGTAATTTGATCGATAAAATTATCTTTGTTATTCTTCTTCTTTTTTTTTTTTTTTCTGGACAGACTTATAATTCATGAGAAACTAAAAGAAAATGCATATGTAGCAAAGATATATGTTAACCTCTCGATGTAATTGCTTACGGAAAGCTTTCAGACATTGCAACTCATTATTCTCTAACTTCAATGTTGATCTCTACATTCTTTCCATCCTAGAGTCGCCATGGCATGAAGCAATTGTAGTCAAATTATTGGGTAAATCTATCTCTTTTCTTATGTTCGTATGTTGTATTCCAGAATTGAATTGTTATGGAAACTAAAAGAACGATTTGATATCTTGAATTTAAGACGAATTTTTTCTAGTTAAGTTTAACGATAGAGATGAATTTGAAAGGTCTATTAAAGATAGACCGTATTGATCACTATCTGATGATGAAACCATGGATCTTTGATTTTATTGCTTTTGTAAAGACAGATGAGGTTCTTGTTTGAATTAGAATTCTAGGCATCTCTATTCAATTCTATGACAAGGACTTCTTAATGGCTTTAGTTTCAGGTATTGGTATCCCTATTAAGATTGATAAAAACACAGCTTTTGCAAACAAGAAAAAACTTGCAAGAATTTATGTTAAATTGAATTGGAAGGACCACTAGTTGGAGAGATCGACTTAGACGGTCAAATATATAATACAGTGTATGAAAGCTTCTATACCATCTGTTTTCAATATGAAAGATATGGACACAGAGAATATGAGTGTCCAATACTTTATCCACCTGCTAGTTCAACTCATCCTAAGCAGTGTAACCATGGCAAAGACGACGGCAACATGGAAAAGAAAACGTACTTACATAAGGAAATTAGCATGCAATTAGGAAGCAATCTTGGTTGGTCAATGAATGACAAAAAAAAAAACTTAGATAGAGAAAAACAATATCAAAATGAAAACAGAAATAGATGCACTACTTTACAAGATAGCAATGATGAGCCCACGAGACCTACTTTGCCTCATAAGCCCGTGACTCCTAAATTGTGTGATTTTATGTTTGTTGAAAGATCAGCCCGTGAATGGGGCTCACAAGCTAGGCCCAACTTTAAGACTAGAGATGTAGTAGACCAATTAATAATACAAGTGATTATTTGCCTAGTCACGGGCCAATATTAGGGCAAACAATCACTGGTATTATTACTTTTACACGAGACCTATTTTTATTTCACACGTCTGATATTTTTATCATAGTCGACCCTCGTACTTCCGGTCATAAAGCGTTAGAAGCATCCAAAGCAATTGATTTTAACAACATAACGAGAGTTGATGTTGATGGGTTTTCAAAAGGTATATGGTGTACATCAGTAATATATTCATTTCTTAGTAGTAGACCAGAATAGTAACTATTGGTTTCTTACATTCGTTTATGTTTGTCCACAAGTGTCGAGGCGTGAATTTTTTCAGAAGACATAAAGAAGCTCTGTGATATTATTAATTTGTCTTGGTTGCTAATCGGGGAACTTTAATGATCATGCAAACCATTCAGGTCATTTTTGCCTGACTAGAGTGTGCAAGTTTCAAGATAGTTTGGACTTATGTGACTTGATTGATCTTGGATTTAAAGGCTCATTTTTTATGTATTGTAAAAAAATACATGGTGCTACTTCTACTTTGTTTCGGCTTGATCGTATAGTTTGTAATACACAATTGGCAACTTTTTTTTTGGAGGCTTTTGTTCATCGTCTATCTAGAATAAACTCGTATCATAATCCAATCCTTCTCCAACTATATGGCTTCATTCCTCCTCGCTTGTCTAGGTCCTTGTACTTTCAGGACGTTTGGACTACGCATTCTGATTTTGGAAATCTAGTTAATGATACGTGGACTGGGGTGAGTGGCTATGTGTCAGATTATTTAGTGGCCATGAATGGTGTTGCAATCATTTTTTAACAGAAAAATCTTTGAGAATATTTTCCGTTGAAAATGAAGAAACCGTGCCAAAATTGAAGGTGTCCAACGGTCATTGGCCTCTCATCGCTCAAATTTCCGGTAGAGCTACAACAGGAGTGTTCTAATATTTTACGTCAGGCGAAGACTTTTGGTTCCAAAAATCGAAAGTTTAAATGGACTCAACATGAATATTGGTGCACTCAATTCTTTCGTACGACAACTATTGCTAGAAAAAAAAAAAAGAAGCCAAATTGAGAGACTACATCTATTTTTATTTTTATTTTTTATAAATCACACACTCAACCCAGATATTTATGACTTTCGACAAAATTAATTTATTAAAATTTGAATTCATAATTTTTTATAATATATCATTACTACTGGATTATAATTTATTTGATGAGACTATATCTGTTGGATATTTTTTATGTATTTGATCCAAGTGTTGTTAAAAAAGAGATACTACAATTTTTTTAAAAAATTTATACTTTATGTTACAGATGATATTGTTCTTCATTTTCCTCTCTTAAAATGCCATCTCACACTCAATCAGGATTAGGTAGAGAATTTGTTGCAACCTGTTACGAAAGCTTGGGTGTTTTATATTATTAAATCTATGAAGTCTTATAAAGCTTTTAGTCTGAATGTTTTTCGGCCAGTTTTTTATCAAAAAATTTGGCATATTATTAGGGATTCAGCTTTCCAAATGGTTCAAGAGACTTTCAATACTAGTTTATGTCCTATTCAATTGCTTGAAACCTTAACTGTCTTGATGCCACAAGATAAGCATACAATTAGCATGAAACTGTTTTGACCTATAAGTCTATAATCTAAGTTACAAAATTCTCACAAAAGTTTTAGTTTAGAAAATTTGGTCTATGCTTTACCTATTAATCAGTTCTCTTCAAAATGCATTCATCTTTGGTTGTACAAAAACTGAAAATATGGTAGCTATCATTAACTATATGCAATGAGGTTAATAGACTTTCTAAAACTATGAGGATATTTAGATAAGGACACATGAGTTCATTTAATAAGTTGGGAAGTTGTTATTGTACCTAAAAAAAGAGGTCGGTTAGAGTTTCGGATGGAAAGAGACAATAATATTGCTATTTTGGGTAAATTTGGTCGAGATATTGTTTCAAGAGATTGAAAAGCTTTAGGTCCATGTGCTACGTAAAATATTTGCTTGGTGAGTTGCTTATGATTCACCGTCCTTCTCGGATAGCTTCTACAATTCGAAAAGCTATTTAAAAGTCATTTTCATATTTAAAAAATAGCTATATTTAGAGAATTATTGATGGATAAATTATTTTTTTGTCGGTTTTATAGATAAATGTCTTATATTGTATTGTGTTAGTATATGTCAAATATTGTTTTTGAAAAGAGCAGGTTATTGGTAGTTGATATTGTTTTTGAAAAGAGCAGGTTATTGGTAGTTGATATTATTTTTGAGTTTTGTAATTGGAATATTTCTCTTCTTAGCACAACTCTTCCATCTACCATCAGTGTCTTTCTAATGGCTACTCCTCCGGTTTGAATGCATTCAACATATGATAGATCGGCTTGTGGAGAGAATGATTCAAAATGTTGTACAATCAAATCTAGATATGAGTTTATTATTTGAATCCTCATCCAATGGAGTTGAATTCTTATTAGAATAGTATTTAGAGAATGCATCTCGCATAGAAACATAACTTTTTTCTTTGACAACTAAAGTGGCAGCGCCTTCCTAGCAACTATGATTCTATTGAGGTACGACCACTTTTCCTTAGCGTCAAAGATTTGGCAGCAACTCTACATCTTTGTTCTATTACCATAATTTTTCTCTGACTCATGGGAGAATTGGTTTCGTAGTAATGTTTTCTGCTCTAATACTTTATGGAATCAACTTTGGCTTTTTAACATTACTTGTTGGCCTTTTTGTTGTGTTCTAGATCAAAAATTTATCTAAGGATTAGTTGCAACTTCTAGACATCAATTACAATTGATCCATTCGCTCATTCATAATTGTGTATTAGCTTTTAACACCTCTTGTTCTATTAACTTGCCAATTTTTCAATGTTGAATTTCTTAAAAAGCTCTCTCGTAAGACTTGGTTAAGTTTAATACTGTATAGGGATAGGTGGCCTTACTTGTGATTGCCATGCTATTTGAAAGATTGGTTTTTCAAGTTAACCTTGGTCACTCTTCTATAATGATGGCTTAACTAAAAGCTGTTAGATAAGCATTTATCCTTGCTTGGGACTGTGGGTATAGGAAGGTAAAAATAGAGATTGATTCTCCAGAAGCAGTCCATGCCATTAGTAATGGAGTTTTATGTACTCATCTCTATTATAACATCATGGTTGATTTTCGTTACTTATGTCAATGCCAATGG